ATGGGCGACCAGCTCCGACCGACTCTTCAAAGCCGCTATGTCCTTCGGCTCATCCTCGGCAGGTTGCATGGCAACGTTCATTTCCTCGACCTGCTGGGCCAAGCGCCTGACTTCGGTCCCCAGACGATCCCTGTCTGCGCGGAGAAGCTCCCCCTCCTCGGCCAGCTTCCCCGACCTTTCCTTTTCCAGGGTCAACATCTCCCTCTCAGCATCCAGCATCGCCGTCTGCTCGCAGAACATCTCCTCGGAGCGTTCCAGAGCGGTCTTCAACTTCCGCAAGCTCGAGGTAAGGGCCGCTTTCTCCTGCTCGAGTTCTTCGATACGGACAGGATCCCCCCCTTCCTCGGACAGCACCAGGGCCATCTCGGCCATTTTCACCAGCCCGTCCATGTTGGCGGCCAGATACATCTTCCGATCCTCTTTGCTCATCCTTTTGATAGCTTCAGCCTCGTCGGCAACCACTGTCAGAGGGAATCTCTCGAAGAAGCCCTCCTCTTTGAAACAAGGGGGGAACGCGAAAGACCTGACAGCACTGGCATCCTCGCCGACAGTCGGACCACTTTCCACCCGGGTCCTCTTCCTTTGTGTCAGGACGACACTAGGGTCGACCTCTTCAACTTCTGGGGTCCCATCCGACGCGGCCCCCGAGCTGGGCGGCGAGTCCACCCTCACCGGCTGAGGAGCACTTGGACTGCGTGGCGGGCCCATCCTCGTCGCCTGGGGGGCCTTCACGACCCTCCTGCCTCGCTTCTGGTCGCAAGACAACTTCAAAAGCCTTTCCCGTCGACCGGCCATCGAACCTGCACAAAATAAAAGATGAGTTAGTATCGAGCAAGCTCATAAATAAATGACGAGCAAAGAAATTCAAGCAATAAACAACCTAGCAGACGGGCAGCCTGCCTGTACGTCTGGCACTCCACGAGTGCCTTAGTATCAATCGGCCGGGACTCAAATGTTGGATAACCCTCTGCATCCAAAATATCGTCCCCTTCCCTCGTCGCCCACCGGGCAGGGTGGAAGCTATCGACAAACCGACAAAGTGTGGCGTACGCCTCCTCGTCCTCCGAGCACATGTCCCCGGCAGCAGTATGGTAGTAACCAGTCCCGTGCTCGTAGTGCCTGAACATCCAGTGCACAGGGAACTTAGCCGTACGGGCCATCACAGGATTCCCATCGTCGCCCAAAACCGCCTCCCCGTCATCATCGCTTAGGGGCTCCTCCTCCTCGTACAAGGATCCTAAAGCAGAGGTGGTAACTGGTCGCACAACGTACCACTTGTCTTTAAAACCCCTTACGGAGTCCATATACATTTTGAAGAGTCTCCTCGACTGCTTCAAGGAGACCCAACTGTGTTTCCCCCTCGAGACTGGCGCTGCAGATGAAAAATCCTGAAGAAAAGCGGTATGGTCGCCCCGATCCTCAGAAAGCGACACGTCAGCTCAAACGCCCGGATAAAGGCAAGTGAGTTCGGATGTAGCTGGGACGGGGCCAGCTCCAGATGAGTGAAGACCCCGACCTGGAAATCACTGAAGGGCAGCTGCAGCCCAAGATCTTTGAACGCGATCTCGTACATCGCGAAGCTATACTCGGGATACACCGAGCAGATCCGTGAACGGGAGGACGGGCGCATGACAACGAAATTCTTTTGGAAGTCAGGCTGGCCCTGACCCGCTTCGAGGACAACATATGGGCTTCGGTCGCCTCGGCTGTATATCGACGCGATCCCTCGGGGCTCAGCGCCCACCCAATCCAGCAAAGGGTCATCGACAGTATCAATCAAGCTGACCGACTCATCGGCACTTTGTTCTTCACGTTCGTGGCGCCCAGAGGAGCACGACTCGTCCGCCATGGTTACCTGCAGAGCACGGGAAACCAGTCAATTGGGCACGAAGCCATACGCTCGACAAACCACGTCGTCCCACGCACGACCACAAAAGTCAGTTTACACGAGTAGTCGCCTCCCCGACATCCTGAAAACTCGATGTGTTCTTCTCCAAACCGACTACGCGGCCACTCTCTAACATGTCGACCCAAGGTATGAACATGGCGAGCAACGTCATGAGACCCACGGCCAGGACCATGAACATACCGGGCGCGATCATGAATCAGGCGCCCTGGATCATGAAGACCCCGGGCAGCGCTGAAGTTTATCACCTAAAACTATGAATATACCGGCCATAAGCGTGCGTTTGCCGATCCTAAGCATGAATATGTCGAGCTAAGTATGAGTCTACCGGGCTAGTCCCACGCGCACAGTCCCGAAAACATCTACAAACGCTGAAAATCATGCATTGTAACAGGAAAATGAAGAAGATAAGCCACTTACTTGAATAAAAAAGTAGGATTCGGTTACGGAGTAGAAGAATCTGTGACAGAAGATCGCGACTGGGAACAATCTGGAAGAGCAACAGCAGAGAGAGCACAAAGAATAGAAACGTGTTATGGGGCCCAAGGTTCCTATTTATAGTGATGACGTGGAATACCAAACGTCACCTCGGGCAACCACGGAGTCTCTCTCCCCGACGCACTGCTCCCAACGCAATGATGACCCTATCCCCATAGGGTGGCGACACGGTTCCCGAAAGATACCTCGTGTGCTCGACAGACACGCCCCAGTGAGGATCCTCCAGGCATCCACCGCGGAAGATGTCCCAGAGCACTGCACGAAGAGGCCCTCGAGGATCTGCACCTCTGTCCCGGGCACGAGACCTCAATGAGGAAACGACCTGAGTTCAAGCCATGGCTCCTCACAAAGGAACCACGACTTGGGGGGCTCCTGTTCTGGACTGGGCCCGACAGGCCCAAAAGCATTGCTAAGGCCCAGTCCAAATGGACTTACTAAGGACCACCCCGACCAAAGAGTCACGACCGCGCCCGACGGGTAGTCGCATGCTCGACAGCTACACCTCCAGCTCGACATACTGCGGTCCAGCTCCACATCCTGATGTCCAGCCCGACATTACCTCGAGCACCCCAAACTAGGGCAGACTCAGTCCATTGTTCCCCCAACGATACCCCGAAAAGACCGCGTCTCCGTCCGCCCGCACTTCACGCAGAACATCCAGGAAGGGGATCACGTGCGGGTCCCCACTACGCACGTAGAACCTGGCAGTTCCTCCATTGGGCCAAACCTGCCCGGCCCAATGAAGGAACCTTGGCCCAGCGCTGGGGGCTATAAATACCCTCTGTTTCCAGAGGGTCAGGTATTCATCATTCTAACCTTACACTTGCTATTATCTGCTCGTACTCCTACTCACTTCAGCATCGGAGTGCCTTGCAGGTACCCCCCACTTCATTCAAAAAGCTTTCTGCTCGGAGCCAGCCGTGACGGTCCATTTCTGATCAGGTCAGATCAAAAATCAATTATATTTAATTTTTATTTATGTTAGTAAGGATTATTAAATATTGAAAAAAACGAAGATATCAATTTTAAAATTATTTATAAAAACAATAGTTAGTTGTAATTCCATAAAAATGAAAAAGGCAAATATATGTAATGATAATAATAAAAATAATAAGAATAATAAGATGAGGTATAAGAAGTAAGAAGAGTTTGGATCCACACGTGATAAGGTGTGGCGCGAAGGCAACGCTGCTTTTTTAGTGTGTGACTGTACGACTCTTCACACTTCTCTTTCACTGCTTCTTACATTACTACTTCTCATCATTCAAATTTTCTTATTTTATTATTAATTTCATATTTTTTATTTTCACACTCTTTCTAATTCTAATTCTAATTATTACTCTGGCGTTTTCTGAACAAGCTCTCTCTACTCTGAGATCTGATAATATTGCGGTTTCTCAAAAGGTTTCCGTTTCCCAAAAACTTACCGTTTTCACTTTGCATGTTCATCTTTTTACAGTTTTTTTCTCTCTTGATTGTTCAATTGTTGATGATTATATGTTTCCTTTGCTTGATTAGTTTGTGTTATTAAATATGATTGTGATGATGCATTGAGCTTAGTGGAATCATTTGAACTCAGAAATTGGATTGTTTTTCTCATGCTTATGGCCATTGGCCTCTTCTCAATCTTTCAAACTCCATTTGGTAACTTAATTGTATACTATTTGTTCTAATTTTGATGTTTGTGTTTGGGAATTTTGGGTTTCATGAATTCCAGTTTAGGGCTTTTTGATGTTAGGGATTGGAATAGACCTGATTTGTTCAGGTTCTTATCTGTTCTTTAATTAGCTTTTTAGGTTAACGTATTGTTCTCAATTGTTCATGTTGTTGTTGACATGGTTGTTTCAGTGTGAGTTTGGTTCTGCGCTGACGAGAATTGATTATGAGTGAATTGGTTTTATAGAATTGATTCTGGTTAAAAGTGAGTTTTAGATGTAAATTCTGAGTGAATTGATTTTGTATCATTGATTATGGTTAAAAGTGAGTTAGATCTAAAGTAATTTATGTAAAAATGAGTTGAACAACAAATTCCAGTGTGTTTAAACTCAAAAGCTATAAATTATAGCTTCAAGTAGAATCAGTTCTAGAGGTAGAATCAATTATACTTTAGAAGAACCAAACACCTCAAAATTATTTCAGAATCAATTCTACACTTATAGAATTGATTTGGCTCTTCCAAAAGCTAAACCAAACATACACTTAGCAATCTGACTTAATTGACTGAAATTTGACTGAAGTGGAACCTCTTAATACTATTCTATATTTTTTTAATGTATTTTTAAAGGTCCATGCAGTTACTGATGTAGTTAGTTTTGACTTGATTCACTGATCTTAACTGAATAAATCACTTTTCTTTTTATCATATATAGGTAGTGTATAATGAATATTGTTGTCTATCATATGGTTCTTCTTACTTTAAAAATCAAAATGACTGGATGTGATATTGTAAAGAGGTATTTGTTTTGGTTGCTTTTTTTTTCATTTCTGAAGCATTTTTATTTGTTTTACCAGCATTATGAGCCAAGATACATGGATTGTTAACAAGGCTGGTCAATGAAGAACTCATAATGAGTGGATTAGGGTGGAATCACAGTCCATGGGCACCCCTGACAAGAAGATATCTGATATTGTTGATGTAGTTAGGTCCTGGATCCCTCGAAGGATTGAGCCACCAAATGTGTCGAGGGACTTTTGGATGCCAGATCAAAGCTGTAGGGTATGCTACGAGTGTGATTCACATTTCACTGTATTCAACCGAAGGCATCACTGTAGAATCTGTGGTCGTGTTTTTTGTGCAAAATGCACTGCCAATTCTGTTCCTGCGTCTTTGCATGATCCAAATACTGCTCGTGAAGATTGGGAAAGGATTAGGGTTTGTAACTATTGCTTTAAACAATGGGAGAAGGGAGTAGCAGCAGTTGATAATGGCACTCCCTCAGCTATCCCTTGTCTCAGCCCTTCACCGTCTTCGACAAGCTTGGTCAGCTCTAAGTCTAGTTGCACCTGTCACAGTAGCAGCAGCACTGCCGGTTCAGTTCCTTATTCAACTGGGTCTTATCAGTGTGTGCCTTCTAGTCCACATCAATCTTCCCAATTGAATCTGATAATGGATGAGCAAGAAAATTTAAATTCGGAGAGGAGTACTAATGACACTCTGGCTGTAGAGAATTTGAATTCTAACCAATATGGCTATTGCTTCAACAGGTATGTCTTTCTCTGATGGTTCATTTTTGGTGATTGAGATACAGTTCTTGCTTGTTGATAATATGTTTTTGCATAGATGAGTGCTAGTCTTGCAAAGGTATGATTTACTATGTCTGCAGATATGGGGTGTGAATGTTTTATAGAGAAAAAGTAGTGGTCAATTCTGTTGTTCTGATCAGTTTTTTGTCTTCCTGTTCTTACTGTTATTATATGTCTATGCTTTCGAATCAGGAGTGACGACGAGGATGATGATTATGGTGTTTACCATTCCGATACAGAATCAAGGCCTTATTCTCGCATCAATGACTATGACGACCTAGTTAACATTCAGGGGATTGGCCGTGTCTATGGACCACATATAATGCATTCTGATGGAGATAACATTCAAGAAAGAAGTTCGAATTGTGTAGAGGCACCACAGAATCTTGAGTTAGAAGGTGCAGATGGAATTCAAGCACTGGGAAAAGAAGCGGATGAGCACGGTCATACTGATGGATGCGAAACATCTCCCTATCAGGAGGAGGCTAATAATATGGAGCCTGTGGATTTTGAGAATAATGGGCTTCTGTGGCTACCTCCTGAGGCGGAGGATGAAGAGGATGATAGAGAAGCTGTACTTTGTGATGATGATGAAGATGAAGGTAGTACCGGAGAATGGGGATATCTACGATCCTCCTCTAGCTTTGGTTCTGGAGAATTTAGCAGCAGAGATAAATCTGGTGATAATAGGACGGCCATGAAGAATGTTGTGGAAGGGCATTTTAGAGCTCTGGTAGCTCAGCTTTTGCAGGTGGAAAGCCTAACTGTTGATGACGACGGAAAAGAGAGTTGGTTGGATATAATTACTACTTTGTCTTGGGAAGCTGCAACCCTTCTGAAGCCTGATACGAGCAGGGGTGGAGGTATGGATCCTGGTGGATATGTAAAGGTTAAATGCATAGCTAGTGGGCATCGAAATGAAAGGTATAGATAGTGAACTGAGGAAAAGTAGAGTAATGAACTAATGTATTAATCTGTATGCTTCTCAAGCTTTTATTTTGCTATGTTGTTTCAGTCTTCTGGTAGACAACGTATGTGTGAGACTTTGATCTATGTTACTGATAACTGGGTCGCTTTGATTCCTTCCATAGTTTTCCCTGCATCAGAGAAAAATACACGGACAAAAAATCATAATAGTATGACCTCTGGTAGGCCTACTATGAAGAATAGGCCCATAATTAATGCTCACAGCTGATTGATTATATTGAAGCACAGTTGATTGATTTATCTCTTCTTTTTGATCCTATTCTACCCTTACTTTTTGTCATATGCATTCTGGTTAAAAGAATCCCTCCCTCCTTAAAATATCTGTTAGGAAAAAGTTCTTATAACTGCTTGTAGAGTATAGTTGTATGCATCTTTTGTCTCCTAAGTGAGTAAGTACATTATGCTTATTTGGGGGATGGATTGCTAGGGACATGGCAATCTGAGGATGGTAGAGTACACTGGTAACTGGGGCAAGTCTGTTTTCTTAATAATATCACAAACTTGGTGTTTGAAAATGCGGGTGAGTGGAAAAGTGTGTTATCTGATCCATATGATTCTCGTTTTGGTAGAAGACTTTATTGGTTTACTCGTCATTTCTTATTTCTTATTTTTTATATACCCTTGATGCTCTAATTTCTATTTCCAGTTTGGTGGTTAAAGGCATAGTTTGTAAGAAGAATGTGGCTCATCGGCGAATGACATCAAAAATTGATAAACCACGTTTTCTAATACTTGGAGGTGCTTTGGAGTATCAACGTGTTTCTAACCAGTTATCAAGTGTTGATACATTGTTACAGCAGGTTCTCCACCAAATTCAGCTCTTAGAAATTGATAATTATATACCAAATATAGGACCTTCTTTGCAAAATCACGGGAATTAAGAAAGTTAGTAGCAATATTAAATTTGCTTATAATTGATATTGTTTTTACAACTTTGTCCTTCAAGAGAGATAATTAGTTTATTTTCTCATCATAGTTTTTATGTTGGATGCAGAAAAAGATATAAAATAAATAGGGGTAGGTTGGTAAGAAATAGTTAATGCAGTTGAAAATTCAAAAAGGGTTTTATAAGAAGGGATTTTTTTCTCAAGAGGGTCTTATATTTAGGCAGAGGTAGTATTATTAACTGTTCTGAATATCATGATATTTTTACTCTTTCCTAGGAGATGGACCATTTGAAGATGGCAGTTGCGAAGATTGATGCTCATCACCCCAATGTTCTTTTGGTAGAGAAGTCAGTATCTCGTTATGCTCAAGAGTACCTTCTTGCTAAAGACATATCTCTTGTTCTGAATATTAAAAGGCCACTTTTAGAACGTATTGCCCGTTGTACCGGGGCCCAGATTGTCCCTTCAATTGATCATTTGACCTCCCCAAAACTGGGTTACTGTGAAAAGTTCCATGTCGACAAGTTCTTTGAAGAACATGGCAGTGCTGGACAAATTGGGAAAAAATCAACAAAGACTTTGATGTTCTTTGAGGATTGCCCGAAACCGCTGGGTTGCACGGTAAGTTCTTTAATCCGACATATTTTGGGAAATGAAAATCAGTGTCAGCACATACACATATTTTGCACATAGTCTTCCAGTCCTATATCTTAGTTATGGTTTATTATGTATCCGAACTTTAGGTTTTAACAGTAAGCTGCAATTTGTATATCCTAATCTTCATTAACCTATATCTAGGGTTAGTATTTAACATAATTGACACAGATAATAAGTTATGAAGAGAAGTTGAATTGTTCTGTTGTTCCACTTTTTCCCGTGTTTATCATTATTCATATTTTTTGTTTTACTTTGAAGATCTTGCTCAAAGGATCAAATGGGGATGAGTTGAAGAAGGTGAAACATGTAGTCCAATATGGAGTCTTTGCAGCCTATCATTTGGCGCTGGAAACATCTTTTCTGGCAGATGAAGGTGCTTCACCCCTAGAGCTTCCCTTAAAATCTCCCATAACCGTTGCACTACCTGATAAACCATCTAGTATTGTAAAATCCATTTCAACAATCCCTGGATTTTCTGCTGTCACTGGTAGAGAGCATCAGGGAGCTGAAACTAATAAAGAAGTACTGAAATGTAATGATGGGTACAAGGCACATAGAACCTTATCTAGCTGCAGTGGATCCATTGAAAGATCACTGGTGGGTGAATCTATTAACAGTGTTGCCTCGGAGAAGGATGACAAAGAACGTCCCAAGGAATCTATACATTACAGACAAGATGAAGGAACGAAGACAATGATACACGCTGATCTTATTTCAGATTTCTTTGGCACCTTTGAGCCTTCCGGGAGAGATGGCAATAACCACATCAAAGCTGTAGCACTGACTTCAAATCGAGGAGCTGGTCCTGAGTCACCTGTTGTAAAACACGATGATGACAGGAGTTATAATTTTGAAAATGACATGATACACTCACAAGAAGATTTTCCTCCCTCAACTTCCGACCATCAGAGTATTTTGGTCTTCTTATCAACACGTTGTGTGTGGAAAGGAACTGTTTGTGAAAGATCCCATCTTGTGAGAATTAAATACTATGGAAGCTCTGATAAGCCTTTGGGTCGATTTTTGAGAGATCAACTATTTGATCAGGTATCTGTTCTTCCAAATCCCTTCATTTTACAAATAAATTGTATCACAATTTCTACTAATAAGAGTTAACATTTCCATTTTAGAGTTACACTTGCCGCTCATGTGAAATGCCACCGGAAGCTCATGTTCATTGTTATACTCATAGGCAAGGGAGCCTGACAATTTCTGTTAAGAAAATATCTGAGTTTCCTTTACCAGGGGAGAGGGAAGGTAAAATCTGGATGTGGCACAGGTGCCTGAAATGTCCTCGTGTAAATGGTTTTCCTCCTGCCACACGGAGAGTAGTTATGTCTGATGCGGCCTGGGGCCTATCCTTTGGGAAATTCTTAGAACTGAGTTTCTCAAATCATGCAGCAGCAAGCAGGGTTGCAAATTGTGGTCATTCTCTCCACAGAGACTGTTTAAGATTCTACGGGTATGCTTTTCTCATAAATTAAATGCATGATGAATGGGGTCTGGTTGAATATTAGTGAGCAAAAACTACACTGAACTTGAAATTCAAAGAAAGTTGGTGTTTTGTTTAATGAGTTACAAAAACAAAATCCTTACCTGTAAGGTGTGATGGTAGAGCTGCATTACACAAATACAGCCGGTTTTCTTGAATCATCTTCGTTTTTGTATGCAGATTTGGGAAGATGGTTGCCTGCTTTCGCTATGCTTCAATTGACCTTCATTCTGTTTATCTTCCCCCATCTAAACTGGAATTCAACTGTGATGGTCAGGACTGGCTACAGAAAGAAGTAGATGAGGTTGATAAGCTAATCTTAGTTGAGATATTAGATATAGCACCCACGTCTGAATCTTTCTGTATTCATGAGATTGTTGATCTTGTCCAACAGGTACATAACAAGGCTGAAATACTGTTTAGTGAAGTGTGCAACACTCTAAATCAAATTTCAGAGAAGTTTTCAGGTTTTGTGCTGCAGGAGGGTGGAAATACAGTGGCAGATTTTAGGCATTTGATTGCTGAACTTGAAGGAATGCTGCAGAAAGAGAAAGAAGAACTCGAGGTAGGTGGTTTGAGACATTGAGATTCGTTGCTCCTTCAACTACTCTCTTGATCCTTCCCTTCATCTTTCAAAAAAAGTGTTTCCAAATGAAAAGGAATAAATTTTTTGACTACACTCTTGTTCTTTCTAGTCCTCCATTTACTTACCAAATTAATTGACAAAGAAATTGGGTTCATTTAAATTTTATTGATTTTCCTTGCTTGTTAAGAGGTGATTGCACATTAATTTTTGGTTTCCCTTTTGGAATGTTGAAAATCTAGGATTTGTTACAAAAGTTTCTGCATAACGAGGCCAAAACTGGTGGGCTCATGGTTGATATTCTAGAGCTCTGTAAATTGCGCCGGCATATCCTTATTCTTTCTTATGTATGGGACCAGCGTCTGGTATATGCATCCAATCAAAGTAAAATTACTTTTTCACAAGATTCAAGGAACTCCTATCAGAAAGAGAAATCAATTGGTTCTAAGGAAAAGGTTGTTGATACAGATGTGGCCACAAGGCCTGCAAGAGGCCATAGCAGTTCTGATTTTTCTCTTTTGAAAACAAAACCTAATGGAAACCTTGATTTAGAAAACACTAGCCACCTTAGCCAGTCTGGTGAAATGATCAAAGGTGAGGACAAAAGTAAAGACACTGCCCATGTTAAGTTTGATCTTTCCCTCTCTCCTAGCACAAATATCAACGATAAATCTAACTGTTCGGAGTTTGGAGGATCTGTACGGAGGAGATCTTCGTCTGAAGGAGGGTCTCGTAATGTGGCTGATTTATCTGATACCCTTGATGCGGCTTGGACTGGTGAAACTCATCCGGAAGATATACTGTACAAGGAAAATGGTTGTCAAGTTTCTGATGTGGAAGCTGTGACGGTTCATTCACCTACGGCAACAGTTACTGCAAAATCCAATCTCGATAACTATACTGCTGATATAGGTAGGATTGAAACAGGTTACACTCATGACTCTAGATTGCATTCCAAAGGACTTGATATTAGATGGGCTGGGATGCCTTTTGCTAACTCATGCTCAGTCAACAAAACTTCAGCCTTCAATACACAGAAGCTTGTTGATTACAACTTTGTCCACATTTTATCATTTCGAGAGTTGGACCGCCAGACTGGTGCTAGACTGCTTCTGCCTGCTGGCATTAATGATACCATAGTGCCTGTCTATGATGATGAGCCTACTAGTGTTATAGCACATGTGCTTGTATCAAAAGATTATCATATCCAGATGTCAGAATCTGATAGACCTAAAGACAGTTTAGACAGTTCAGTTTCATTGCCACTATTTGACTCAACCAGCCTACTTTCTCTCAACTCTTTTGATGAGACTATTACTAATAGTTACAGATCTTCTGATGAGAGCACGACGTTATCCACTTCAGGGTCTCGAAGTTCACTGTTTGGGGATTCATCCCTGTACTCAAAGGACTTTCATGCAAGAGTTTCTTTTAACGATGACAGCTCCCTTGGAAAAGTGAAATATACTGTAACTTGCTACTATGCAAAGAGATTTGAGGCTCTAAGAAGAACTTGTTGCCCTACTGAACTAGATTTTGTGCGGTCCCTTAGCCGTTGTAAAAAGTGGGGGGCTCAGGGAGGAAAGAGTAATGTTTTCTTTGCAAAAACTCTCGATGATAGATTTGTTGTCAAGCAGGTTACAAAGACAGAGCTTGAATCATTTATCAAGGTTGCACCAGCTTATTTTAAATATTTATCTGAGTCAATCAATACAGGAAGCCCAACCTGTCTAGCAAAGATCTTGGGCATTTATCAGGTATTTTTTGTCAAATTAACCTATGTTCTGATGGCATTTGAATGTTTACTGACTTATTTATTTCTAGTATCTAAAGTTGTAGATCAATTCATATTGATGCAGTACATGATAATTTGCATACTTCTTTATAAAGTTGCGGTACCTGCCCTCCCCCATTAATGTATTTATAAGCGCGGGTTTAAGACTAGTGTACCTTGTACTGAATGTGTTTTCATATTTCATATTAAATATATAGATATATGTCAAAGTCTATGATGAAAGTATTTGGGGGCAGTATGTAAATCATTGGATTATCCAAGTATTTTTTTTTCTCCATCAGATTCATGTTCCATCCAATATTTTAGCCACTGTCATATGAAGAAACATACTTATGCAACTAAATAAACGGTCTCATCATAGATTTGGCTTGAATCATTCTTGTGATACAGCTTTCCTAGTCTAAATCATTGATATGTTCTTCTGTTCTAATTGGGTGTGCTGATATGTCTTAATTTTCTTTCAAGGTAACATCAAAGCATCTCAAAGGAGGGAAGGAAACAAAAATGGATGTTCTGGTTATGGAAAATCTTCTTTATCGGCGGAACATTAGGCGGCTTTATGACCTCAAAGGTTCTTCTCGATCAAGGTACAATCCAGATACAAGTGGGAGCAATAAAGTTCTTCTGGATCAGAATCTCATTGAAGCTATGCCAACCTCTCCAATATTTGTCGGGAACAAGGCAAAGCGGCTTCTTGAGAGGGCTGTGTGGAATGATACTGCATTCCTTGCTGTAAGTCTGATTGCCCTTCTTAATTTTCATGTTTTACCCTAATTCTACCTCTGGGTTTTCTCGCATGAAATTTCCTTTCTCTTTTTCTCTATTTTAATTTTGACTGTCAATTGAGAAGAACAAAGAATAGCTAAAACTTGTAAGATTTATTTATCTATGCGAGAACTTCACTTTGACCACGCATCCTTACTTATACACTACAGCCATCTCTAACTATGTCAATCTTATGATTTTGTTTAGAAAATATAATACTGTATGCATATGGTTGCAGTCAATATATGTGATGGACTACTCATTGCTGGTTGGCGTGGACGAGGAGAAGCATGAGCTAGTTTTAGGCATCATTGATTTTATGAGGCAATATACATGGGACAAGCACCTTGAAACTTGGGTGAAGACCTCAGGCATTCTTGGTGGACCCAAGAATACTTCTCCAACTGTTATATCACCTCAGCAGTACAAGAAACGGTTCAGAAAAGCAATGAGCTTATATTTTCTTATGGTGCCAGATCAATGGTCTCCTCCAAGCTTACAAACTAGTGAATCTCAAACCGACCTTTGTGACGAAAATTCATGAGGTGGGCCCATTTGTTTTATATGTTCAAATTTTATATCTTGTAAATGTTAAGATAAAGATTGCAGCATCCATTCATGTCTGTTCTCTTTTTCCTTATACCCTTAATATATGTCTGCTGCAGTGTATTATCTGATAAATGCAGGTGTAAATTTTTGTCTTAGAAAAAACATGGTTGGTGCATGTTAAAAGGGTACGGGGATCATTTCTATCAAGGTTATATTAAATGTACAGTGATTGTTTTTTCCCTCAATTTTTATAGTGTATTGAATCTTTTGGCTTTCTCCTAACAATTGTCTTCTAGTTTTTATTTCCAAATCATAACTTTCTGAAAGCTTTTTGCATGGCATTTAAATAAATAACTTGAGAGATTGGCTCTCATCATGATAATATTTATGATTAACGTTGTACAAAGGGAATTCCTTAATTAAGAGAGGGTATATAAACACAATCAATTTCAATAAAGAATATAATGGTCCAGTTGTGATTGGTGCCCTACTTGGTAGGGATGGAAACCACTTGATTCCAGAACTAACTTCTAAATTGGATTAGTCGTTCTAAATTGGATTAGTCGGTCCAGTGGGAAGCCACTTGATTCCTGAACTAACTTCTAAATTGGATTAGTCGGTCTAGTAGGTTGGATACTGGTGATGAAACAGAAAGAAAAGAATGTAATTATATACAAAGAATAAACTCTGCATATCTCAACACCCTCCAAAGTTTGAGCATACAAACTAGGCATCAAGCTCTTCACATTTAAATTATTTTTCTTCAAATATTCATCAAGCTTTTCACATTTAAGTTATTTTTGTTCTTCAAATATTCTCTGAAAATGTTTTGCTACTTACTAGAACCAACAAATGAAGTGCAATTTTACCTGACACAATCTTTTTACGAATAAAAGACCAACAATCTCGACATATTTATTGGAAGATTTAATATGCTACCCTCCAAATTAAACACGACACCTCTAATTTTAATTATTTTATAATTATCTTTGTTGAGTTACAAATAATTTCTAAACGAAATTTTTGGTATAAGGTTAGAAATTTTTGGTATAGGTAAAATTTTCGGTATATCCCTGTAAAATTTCCAGTTTATGTAAATTTCAGGTATTAAAAAAATTTCAAATTTACTAGGCAGTACCGGAAATTTGAGTTATACTGAAATTTCTGGTAAAGTTTTTTTAGCGGTCTAGATTTTGTCGAAATCTTTGGAGGGTCTTGATTGTACTGATAAATTTGTGTGGTATAGAATGCATCGTCATTTATATAAATATGGACATATTCTACAAAGAAAAACATCTCAAACAATGCCTCTTCCTCAATTTTTGATTAAGACATAGTATATTACAATGGAAACAACTGTGCTGTTGAATGTAAGCTTCCAGATGGCAGTACATCCCTTGACACCTTGAAAGAAACGTTGAATGCATTGTTGTCTGATTTCAATAACAGAAGGGTGACAAAGATTGAGTTTCATGAAGATTGAATTGATTTAAATGGAAGGGTGAAATACAACCAGATTGAGTTGAACGATGAAGATGTGAAGGCCATGTGGAAATCATTTCGCTGTAGGATAACTAAAGGTCCGATCGAGTTAGATGCAGAGATCTGAAGATCCGTCGACGACATAATCAAGATGCTGAAACTTCCAGAATCATCCGATGGTGCCTAAGTTTTCATGTTTAGTTGTTTTTAATTTTTGTTCGTTGTACTGTTTTATGTTATGTTCATCATCGATTCGAAACATGTAATCGCCAAAATATTATGTAATAGATATGAAGTTTGTGTGTCATAAAATATACATATAATACAACCAAAATAAAACAGATTTACATAAGCCCTCTACAAGCTACATCAGCTAATCAGATGTAGCATGTACGCCCTAGCGGTAGCCTGGTACCTTTGAACCTCCACATGCTCCTTGTACTTCTCCCTAAGCCAAGACATCTGAAGGTGATATCCCCTGTTAACGCCAAACTCCGCCAGAACCATCACCCCAGATACCTCTAAATCATCCACAACCATGCACATCGTCGTCGCATGGTTAATATAGGAGGTGTGAAGAATGTACTAGCGATCGGGATATAAAATAGGGCGTCAACATCATTCAATGTGACCATCATCTCCCCAATTGAAAGATGAAAGAATGATGTCTCTGGATGCCACCTCTCAACAAAATCAGACAACAGTGAGGCATCCAACATGGTCAACGAGCACTGAGCGAACTCCAACAGCTGAAAATCTCTAACAATTCTACTGACCTCCTCAGGCATGACACCCTCTGGGAAGTTCTTCAACTTCGAACCATGGGAAACGACCTTCAGCACCAGACACTACTGTTAGAAGGAAAGATAAAATATTTACATCAACTTTCAAATACTTGCAAAAAAATATACACAAACCAATTAAAATATATACCTCGCCATGCCATATCTTGTAAGTGGCGTACTCAGCAAATCCTGTGAGCAAATACATGTCTGAAGGGCCTCTTGGAAAGGCTCCATTAGTTTTTGTTTGTTGTACTATTTTATGTTATGTTCATCATCGATTCGAAACATGTAATCGCCAAAATATTATGTAATAGATAAGAAGTTTATGTGTCATAAAATATACATATGATACAACCAAAATAAAACAGATTTACATAGGCCCTCTACGAGCTACATTGGCTAAGGAGATGTAGCATGTACGCCCTAGCCGAAGCCTGATACCTTTGAACCTCCACGTGCTCCCTATACTGCTCCCTAAGCCAAGACATCCGAAGGTGATATCCCATGTTAAAGCCAAACTCCGCCAGAACCATCGCCCAAAATACCTCTAAATCATCCATAACCATGCGCGCCGTCGTTGCATGGTTAATATATGAGGTGTGAAGAATGTACCAGCGATCAGGATATAAAACAGGGCGTCAACATCATCTAATGTGACCATCATCTCCCCAATTGGAAGATGAAAGAATGATGTCTCTGGATACCACCTCTCAACAAAAGCAGACAACAATGAGGCGTCCAACATGGTCAATGAGCACTGAGCGAACTCCAACAGCTGAAAATCTCTAAAAATTCTATTGACCTCCTCAGGCATGCCACCCTATGGGGAGTTCTTCGACTTCGAACCATGGGAAACGATCTTCAGCACCAGACGCTCCTATTAGAAGGAAAAATAAAATATTTACATCAACTTTCAAACACTTGCAAAAAAAATACATCAACCAATTAAAATATATACCTTGCCATGCCATATCCTGTAAGCGGCATGCTCAGCAAATCCTGTGAGCACATACATGTCTGAAGGTCCTCTTGGAAAGGCTCTATCAGTGTAAACTGATGGATCTATAGACGGACAAGTCATGGTGTCTGTATCAGTGGGGACACCTCGTCAACGCCCTCATCTACAACCTTCTCACATGCCTCCTCAATAACCTGCTCGACAATCGGCTCCACAACCTACTCAGGAATCAGCTCCACAACAAGCGCAACCTCCTTAATAGTCTGCTCGGGATTACCGCTGAACCCACAAACCAACACAAGTCTTTTCAACATGCTCCTTGTACTACTTCCTAAGCCAAGACATCCGAAGGTGATATCCCCTGTTAATGCCAAACTCCTCCAGAACCATCGCCCCAGTTACCTCTAAACCCTCCACAACCATGCGCACCGTCGTCGCATGGTTAATATAGGAGGTGTGAAGAATGTACCAGCGATCGAGATATAAAACAGGGCGTCGACATCATCCAATGTGACCATCATCTTCCCAATTGGAAGATTAAAGAATGATGTCTCTGGGTGCCACCTCTCAACAAAAGCAGACAACAGTGAGGCATCCAAAATGGTCAACAAGCACTGAGCAAACTCCAACAGCTGAAAATCTCTAACAATTCTATTGACCTCCTCAGGCATGCCACCCTCTGGAGAGTTCTTCGACTTTGAACCATGGGAAACGATCTTCAGCACCGGATGCTCCTTTTAGAAGGAAAAATGAAATATTTACATCAACTTTCAAACACTTGCAAAAAAATATACATCAACCAATTAAAATATATACCTCGCCATGCCATATCCTGTAAGCGACATGCTCAGCAAATCCTGTGAGCACATACCTGTCTGAAGGTCCTCTTGGAAAGTGTAACACCCCAATTCTACCCCAAGCAAATTATGCAAAATAAATCAGAGTTATAAAATTTCATTCATACAAACGAATCGGGACGTCACAAATTCTTCTAACAAATTCATTGCATTCATCATGGATATATAACACTTTTTCAAATATCGGATGAACCATCAACATAACATCTTTAATAAAATAATTTAACAACTACGCAGCGAAATTCTTCAATAACATCTTTAAATAAAACAGCAACTTCGAAACATCTCGTAATTAATAATAATTCAACTTAAAAGTCAACAACTGAAAATCAACAATAAAAAATCAGCAAGCGTTCATCCCCCCTAGTGTTATATATCAGAGCAATGACACCGACTCGATCTATTGAAGGTATACGGTGTCCACTCTCGATTACTTGCACGTTACCAACATAGGGGCAACAATCAAACAGAAGGGGTGAGATATCTAACAATATAATAAAGCGCATGATAATTAATATATTAAATCAGATCAATAATATCACCACTTCTCATCTCATAATCAACAATAATTACAGCATATATACTCATTCATCAACATCAAATACATTTCATTATTCAATCATATAATGCGACTCAAAACTATGCAAATGCATGTGGTACCATTGGAGCAGAACTTCCATCTCAAAAATCTAATCTGCCAATTAATAAAGGCATCAACAAGGCATAACCTTCATCTTAAAATTTGCCAATCCAGGCCATCTCAACGAGCATAAGCTCCACCTCAAAAAAATGTAATGTATGCGAATCAACATGAATGTAATAACACACTCAGTTAACAACATCTCAAAACACATCTCAAAACAACAACATCTCAATCATCTCAAAACAACAACATCTTATAAACATCTCAGAA